GAAGTTAAACACGAAACTGCAAGCAATATCAATATCAATATTGTTTTACCTACAATATATTTATATATTACGTACATTTACCTTCGGAGGAATGATATTACATATACTAGAAGGATATACAAACATTAAATATATACATGTACCGATCAATATCTTGAGCTCTGAAAGAAACAATTAGTAGATGCACAATACATGTACATTTCTAATCTATTTAAATACAAATGTTGTATTGTAGTGCAGGTATGCATTCACATATAGTGACCGGAAAACTAAACAAAAATGCAAAGCTTAGAAACTGCATCCAATAGTTCGCCCATTGTCATTTTGTTTTACTTATCACTGAAAGGATCAAACGACATCGATAAACATGTGACCTTTGTCAACAGTGAGGGGCCAAGTAAGTTTAAGTACAATCATTATCCAGAGGCCACACCTAGTCCAATTTTTATCCATAAACCCACCTTGATTGGGAGTCCTTGTTGGAAATTTCGGTGGCGGATTACACACGCCACAATACAGGAGTACGACCGCACAATACACCAGTACCAAGGACGATTACGATAAGTAGACAAACGTAAGAAAGTGATTTAGCTATGAAAGGGAGTCTTGTTTTGTTTTCCGTGCTGTAGGTTGTTTATGTTAAGATTCCTATTGACTGAATCGGACTATTTCCGGACTAGTGTGGGCTACATATGTATTGTCCAATACATACCCGATTGTGTGTACATTTGTGCATGATAAGGTTTATGTGTCCGCTTTCACCTCTCATGTACAACGGCTAAATGACGAATGGAATGGTTTAATTACCCGCACGGATTCATGATTCGGCGTATTAGTGCTTTTTACGATACACATATTTCTACATTATGTGTGAATATACAGTAAATCTGTGTGCTTTGCTTTTGGAAATGTCAATGATTTAACGTTTGCTGCCCATGGGTGGCTACAGTTGCTGTACAAAATGCTTGAATTTACCGGGTGTATAATTTGAATATTGAAAGCCTTTCCTTGGAATCATGTATCTGCTTTCTGAGCTGTTATCTTGATCACAGTCACGGTGCCAGGTACATGGTTTCGACTCATGGACCTGTGTATAAACTAATATGCTTTTTGGACTGTTGTTTTGCGTGGGAGTTTAAGAAAGAACACTACCGGTGTGCATTGGGTTGTGGTTAGGGTTCAACTCAATTAAACCAAGTGTCATTATATAAGGCTCTTTTTTGGCCATCCCTGAAACATCTGACGTCGGCAGGTGATATTTGACAAACTAATCCAAACCACCTTCAGTGACATTTCTGAATATGGCATCAGACAATAATCCATATTTTGACATATAGAAGATTTGCAATCCAGGGACCCATTACATGTTTTCTTTGCATGTGTAATTAATTTCGTCTCACAAACACGACAGTGAAGATCCTTCGGCAACAATTCCGGTCTGACAGGTACGTCCTGGTATAGCAAGGTTTTTTAACTTTAAAAAAGTCCATTTACATTATTCAAACTATTGTTTCTGTCTGAATCATGTTTGAACTATAGCGTTGTTGTATTTGTTGATTCGGCGAGTTTGCAACTAGCAATTTTGAAATCAAAATAGTAGCGATATTACATCATTCAGTTCGCGTAATATATAACATTTTGTTTACCTGTAGAACAATCCGACCTATCATTTAACACTCCATGTTTACAGCATGAAGACCATGTATATAGTACACTATAATGAACTAACGACATGAACTCATACCACCCGAGACAACACGTGTGCAAGTGAATCTGCTATAAACTATATTGGAGAGTTGTACAAGTCAATCAGAATTCTAGTGTTTTTAATGTCTTTTTGACATTCTTTATTTATATACCCGACGTAGGTTTGTATTTGTTTTTGTATTGAACATTTTCATCACTTGACATACATGCATGCTAATCAATAAAGCTCCTTGTTTATATTTCATTTTAACAACTTCTTTTTAATGTTTTTGTTTAATTTATTTGTCGACTCGTCACTTCTCTCTTTCTGAATAATAAGCTATTTCATTATTATTCACACATGGAATTAAAATTTCCTCGTTATGAAGTGTGTCATCGATATGACTTTTATTATAATTCAGACAGATTTGTCATGAGATAACAACGATTGTTATGTTGCTGAGGTGCACAAATTACGGATATCAGTTCGTCTATATGTCAAACTTCGTCAATATTATAGACAAATTCCTGCACACCTTCATTCCAGCACTCAACAGTGTGTTTAAAAAAACATCCATTGAAGATTAATGTTTAGACACCTTCTTATGAAATCACATTAAGTTTGAAAGTGAAAGAGATGTTTATCAAGTGTCTAGAGAAGGCGAAAAAAATGTATTAAGTCGAGATCTTACCAAGTGGGCCGTGTCTTGTGGACTGTCACTAACGTGGTGTGAATGCGTTAGGAAGGTTTGATACCCTGGTCTTATTGACAGCGTGCTGATATGTGTGGTTGATGTCTCTCGCGGACATACATAATAAAGCGAATGGTAGGTCGGGTGTGTGTGTGATACTGCTAACTACACACAGCCATGAGGATGGTTCTCGACTGTACCTATAGTGAGGATTCGTCAGGTACGGGGGCATTGTTTAATACATTACCTGGTTTAAACTGGTAAGTAGCTACTTCAATCCTGGATATGAATAACACGATTTCCTCTTAAATTCATTAAGTTATACGTGTATAAATATTCTGTTGCTGAGCTATTTTACGTTTTATTTTCTATGGATTTTAGAAAAATAAAAAGTTTAGGGAGTGGTATGATCGTGGTATATAATTTGTGAGCGGTTGGTAAACAAATGAAACCTATTGCTACTCGGTGTCATTATAAACAGACGCGGTCTAAAACACATACTTACTCATTTTGGTTATGAATCACTGGGTTCGTTCCACTTGCTTTCATTCATGTGGTTTCTTTTTGAAAGCCTTATTCTGTTTCAAATAGTTCATATCTAATGCCCTACAAAGCACTACAAATACCATTTAAAGATTACCAAGTAAGCTAGATGCACTTTTTTCAGTTATCAATGGTGTTGAAACAAAAATCAAGCAAGACGTCCTTGTGATTTAAGTTCGGCAGCGACACTGATGACTTAAATAACGCGCATTGAATGCCCTTTTTAATAGATTTTATATTTAATTACAAATCTGACCCAAATACCTGACACCCGAGACTATCGAATGTGCTTATCCCTATTTGGATTTCTCTAGACTAAGATTTCAGACACTATAGAGAAGGCATGTTTGTCAACGAGATCTGCTTCATGGAAAATGTCAAGGCGGTGTAAATCCATTACGCCATCTGTTTGTATGTCTAATCTAGGTTATACACGACACCAGTTACTATTTCATTGATGTTTTATTCAGAGTTAAAGTCATATTTAAGAAAAGTCCATGATAACACTGAAATGATATTATTTTAATAGAAATAATTAATTCGATACAATTATAACATTTACATTTAGTAGTACACGGTTTCGTAACATTGGCAGTCTGTCTTGGTCTCCATTTTGTCCACTTGAGAAGTTTTAAATGTTGTTGTTTTTTTAATATTATCTAGCATAACAGACATAAGATTAATTTGTGTTTATTATACTTCAGGCCAGGATAGAACAAGTATAAAATCTTAGCACAAAAAACCACCATCAAAACAGCAAAAGCGAATGACTATCTATATTCTAGACGATTGTTTAAAAATATACACACATAGAGTAAAAAAAAAAATCATGTTACGGAATTTCGTACGTTTAAATCTTGATACTGGTGAATAAGGTACAATGTACGTTGTGTGATGTCTGTATGTGAACAGAAACAGTATCATCTGTCAATATCAGCAAACAATCAAATTTGTCAGTTTGATTAAACACAAGATATAGAGTGCGGTATCTACAATAACAATATAACTATATAAGTCATCCACCTTGATGGTATCGATAGTAATTTAGAGTTTTCGAGTTTGGGAAAACTCATTCAATTTTATACATGTACATGCAAACTTTTTTTTCTATGCTTTTATTCAAGTAAAATAGCACACTGTACTTGAAAATATAAATCATACCAAATGTGCCTTACCTGAATTGATATAGGCCTAGGTTGTGAACTTTGACGGAGTCGAACCTTTTCACGCTCAATTTCCGTCCTCCCACCAGCTTCACTAGATAATATCGCGTTCCAGTGCAACTATGTCACCTTTTGGGGGTCGGACTACGGGTTGAATATTGGCAGTGACCGTATTGAGCGTTACTCATAGGATCTTGTATTGCGTGGTGTCACGGTTGACTTCCCATTTTATGTTGTAATAAACGTTCAAATAAAAAGTGACCGTGAAATAGTTTGTGTAGGAAGGTACATATATAATATACTGTGTACATCGCACTAGAAATGTCGTGATACTGTGCGGTAAACTAAGACAGAATACGGGGTACGTCAACTCGACTCGACACCAAACCTTAGAATATTTTGTCAGATTGACAGTTTGTTTTTAACGAAGTCGAGTTTGTTTCGCTTCATGCAATTTACTGGAATGATAGCGTGTTTCATTACCTGATATTTACTGGAATGATAGCGTGTTTCACTACCTGATATTACCAACACCTGTCTGTTACACACACCGTTGTCGATTTGGCGACCAGGAGTTTGATGGTATCTCGTACTTGGGATGTCGTTGTTTTGAACGGTTCATAGACCTTCTTCATTAGGAGGACCACACCATCACACACTCCTCCACGCTGTCATCATGACTGAAAGGGGCGAAAAACTGTTTATGTCTGACATCGAATTTGAATCGACAATACTGGACATTCTCTACTCCCCGATCTTTTTAGATTTGAGGTAAATCCTTGTGTCAGTAGTTAACACTTTCAGATGTATTCACTATCGTTTTATTACCGATGCTACTTGCATTAGTAAAATCACCAGTCGCAATAATATAGTTGGTATCTTGTTATACATATTTATACATATTTGCATGTTCCAGGACAACTGAAAAGAGCAAGCATGCAAAGAAAGATAGCTCAAAGGATTCCAAGCGCAGATCTGAACAAGATGGACCACCGGATGACATTCAGGCTTTTTTCGGGCATCCTCTCACTGCGGCTACGACAGCTATTAATGGCGAGGACAGTACCAACGCGTCAGCAGCAGCTCTCTTCCACGAATACATCAATCTACCCGCCATAGAAAAAAGTGAATTCAAAATCGGAGAAAAAATCGATATTGAAAAGTTGTCCCACATCTACGAAGAGTCTGAAAGGTAAGCATTTTATAATCAATATTTTCAGTATAACGGTCACCAGTACGAGCTTGGTTTACCGATATGGATTGGTACGTTATTACACGATGCAAGCAAATCTGGCTGAAAGAGTAATGATGCTTACATATTTTACGTCAATTTAAACCGGGTAAACATTGGGAATGGCTGTAATGCACTATATTTGGTTGTAATACATCCGCCTGTTGGATGAGGCAGCGCTGTATGTTGGTTGTAGGTACTATTCAAACTTGATATGCAGCATACAGGAATTTTTTTTATTTTTATGTTTAATAAGCTTCTAAGGTGTGATGGAGGATATGTCTGCTGGTGTATATATATATATACATGTATGCATGTATTTTTTATATAATAGCTATATTTTCAATTATAGTATATCAGTTCTATCTTCTTGTAATATGATTTATGTACATGTAACTGTTCTGTTTCACTATGTCTTGATAAAGGAGCGGATCGCTTCGAAAAGTTGACAACCTAAACTTGTCCACACTGTTGGAATTACTTCTTTGCCCCATATATACATAGATATGATTTAAAGGTGTTTTGTGGGGTGAATCTATAATGTTTTATCTTTAGTACACTGGTTTATCTTAACTACATTGGTTTATCTAAAGTACAATGGTTTATCTTTAGTACACTTGTTTATCTTTAGTACAATGGTTTATATTTAGTACACTGGTTTTTCTTAACTACAATGTTCTATATTTAGTACACTATTTTGTCTTTAGTACACTGTTTTATCTTTAGTACACTGGTTTGTCTTAACTACAATGTTTTATATTTAGTACACTATTTTGTCTTAAGTACTCTGGTGTATATATGTGGTACAAACTGAGCCATTTTTTAAAAATCTTTTGGTACCAACTCATTAACTATATTCCATGTTTTGTCATCATCTTCACACATCAAACAGTTAACTTACAACATTCCATTTTAAGGACATGTCGGCCATGACCCTGAATAAAATTTAAAAGTATAAACACGGGAAAGTAATAGCCCTTTAGACACAGTCTTCACATTCAGTAATCCCTGAAAATGAAGAGGATAGTTCGTTTATCCACGGAAATCCCAAAGTGTGTACAGCCATTACATGGTTTACATTGTTTGGTATTACAGCGTAATGAAACATTCATTGTATCTTACTGTAGACAAGTCTATTTTACTTTACTGTATATAAGTCTATTTTTGCTATACTTTAGGTAAGTCTATTTTACTATACTGTAGACAAGTCTATTTTACTATACTGTAGATAAGTCTATTTTACTATCTGTAGATAAGTCTATTTTACTATACTGTAGATAAGTCTATTTTACTATACTATAGACAATAATATAAGTCTATTTTACTATACTGTAGACAAGTCTATTTTACTATACTGTAGACAAGTCTATTTTACTATACTGTAGATAAGTCTATTTTACTATACTATAGACAATAATATAAGTCTATTTTACTATACTGTAGATAAGTCTATTTTACTATACTGTAGACAAGTCTATTTTACTATACTGTAGATAAGTCTATTTTACTATACTGTAGATAAGTCTATTTTACTATACTGTAGACAAGTCTATTTTACTATACTGTAGATAAGTCTATTTTACTATACTGTAGATAAGTCTATTTTACTATACTGTAGACAAGTCTATTTTACTATACTGTAGATAAGTCTATTTTACTATACTGTAGATAAGTCTATTTTACTATACTGTAGACAAGTCTATTTTACTATACTGTAGATAAGTCTATTTTACTATACTGTAGATAAGTCTATTTTACTATACTGTAGACAAGTCTATTTTACTATACTGTAGATAAGTCTATTTTACTATACTGTAGACAAGTCTATTTTACTATACTCTAGATAAGTGTATTTTACATACTTATTCTACGGAGTGTATAGACGCCATTTAATATTTTCCCTTTGAATATCGCATAATTTACCAGTATGGCAGTTTACCGATACATTTCATGAGTAAATAATATTGGTACATTATATTTCCTGTCATACGAGAAAAAAACATATAGTATTCAACCGGTAAATAATTACATTTTCTATTTACTACAGTTTGAAAGCATGTTTTTTTTACTGCATCATTAGTAGCGTAATGTTTGGTGCCTTAATTTGACGACATCACACTTTACAACAAGATTGTGAGCCAAATTGAAAGAGACTCCTTTTTCCTTTTATGATTACTGTGCTTTGAGTAACTGCGAGCTAGCGTGAAGGTTTGTACAGTGATTGTGTAAAACTGGTAAAACGCTAAACAGAGAAAAATGAAACAATGACTGTTCTCTGGGACCTTAAAACACACATGAAGTCACATTTCTCTACATTGTGTAATTATTTACGTTTGTATGTACCACTAACATCGCTTCACCTGTTTCTGAACACAAATAGTATTTTTATATTGAAACCAAGACATATAAATACATTTTTTATGTCATAATCTATTCATTGATACTTCGAAATGTGAACATTTTACTATCTGCATGTTAATACTAAGAAATGTAATTATGTTATACTTCAGATATAAATATTAAAATATAAATATAAAGTCAGTTCATACAGCTGGTTAGGGTAATCAGTAAGTGTCGTTGGACCATCAAGCAAACAGGAAAAAAACCAGCATACACACAAAAGGATGTACCTTTTCTATGCATCGTGCTATAAGAAAATTCAGATTAGCTCAATCAATATATAATTAAAATAGAAAGTGTCTAGGGGGCGTTTGATTTATCTTCCGTAACTTATTTTCTATGGGGCGTCTGATATCTTCAGTAACTAACTTTCTATGGGGCGTCTGATATCTTCCGTACCTGACTTTCTATGGGGCGTCTGATATCGTCCGTAACTAACTTACTATGGGGCGTCTGATATATCTTCCGGACCTAACTTTCTATGGGGCGTCTGATATCTTCCGGAACTGACTTTCTATGGGGCGTCCGATTTATCTTCCGTAACTAACTTACTATGGGGCGTCTGATATCTTCCGTAACTGACTTTCTATGGGGCGTCTGATATATCTTCCGTAACTAACTTTCTATGGGGCGTCTGATATCTTCCGTAACTGACTTTCTATGGGGCGTCCGATTTATCTTCCGTAACTAACTTACTATGGGGCGTCTGATATCTTCCGAAACTAACTTTCTATGGGGCGTCTGATATCTTCCGTAACTAATTTTCTATGGGGCGTCTGATATCTTCAGTAACTAACTTTATATGGGGCGTCTGATATCTTCAGTAACTAACTTTATATGGGGCGTCTGATATATCTTCCGTATATAACTTTCTATGGAGCGTCTGCTATCTTCAGTAACTGACTTTCTATGGAGCGTCTGCTATCTTCCGTAACTAACTTTCTATGGGGCGTCTGATATCGTCCGTAACTAATTTTCTATGAGGCGTCTGCTATCTTCCGTAACTAACTTTCTATTTGGTGTGTGATATCTTCTGTAACTAATTTTCTATGGGGCGTCTGCTATCTTCCGTAACTAACTTTCTATGGGGCGTCTGATATCGTCCGTAACTAATTTTCTATGAGGCGTCTGCTATCTTCCGTAACTAACTTTCTATTGGGTGTGTGATATCTTCTGTAACTAATTTTCTATGGGGCGTCTGCTATCTTCAGTAACTAACTTTCTATGGGGCGTCTGATATATCTTCCGTAACTAACTTTCTATGGGGCGTCTGATATCGTCCGTAACTAATTTTCTATGAGGCGTCTGCTGTCTTCCGGAACTAACTTTATATTGGGCGTCTGATATATCTTCCGTACTTAACTTTCTATGAAGCGTCTGATATCTTGCGCAACTAACTTTCTATGGGGCGTCTGATATCTTCCGTAACTAACTTTCTATGGGGCGTCTGATATCTTCCGTAACTAACTTTTTATGGGGTCTGTGTTATCTTCCGTAACTAACTTTCTATGGGGCGACTGCTATCATCCGTAACTAACTTTCTATGGGGCGTCTGATATCTTCCGTTACTAACTTTCTTTGGGGCTTCTGATATCTCTCGTCACTAATTTTCTATGGGGCGTCTGATATCTTGCGTAACTAACTTTCTATGGGGCGTCTGATATCTTCCGTAACTAACTTTCTATGGGGTCTGTGTTATCTTCCGTAACTAATTTTCTATGGGGCGACTGCTATCATCCGTAACTAACTTTCTATGGGGCGTCTGATATCTTCCGTTACTAACTTTCTTTGGGGCTTCTGATATCTCTCGTCACTAATTTTCTATGGGGCGTCTGATATCTTGCGTAACTAACTTTCTATGGGGCGTCTGATATCTTCCTTTACTATTTTTCTATGGAGCGACTGATATCTTCCGTAACTATTTTTTATGCAAATTCCGTTCCTTTGAATCTCTAGCGTTATAATACTGTAGCAAAGTGGAAATAAATATTCCGATATTAATTCAGTAAGTCGCTTCATCACTGGGGATGTTTACCCTCATCATGCGTACAATCTGAGCACGAGATTCATCGACATGACAATCACGACCCTGAAGTTGTCATGGGTACGTGCAGGTATTGGAGGTTGTGTCACGCTGATGTGAGCATATCATGATAACATTATCTGCGTGTTGATCTGAATATACTGGATGCTCCTTCTCATTGTTTTTTTTGTAGCTGCATGCGATGTCTACCGGTTAATGATCTGCACGTGTATTATCAAACTGTTCAGACTTTGTGTTTGTTTAGTAACGTGTTTTGTGTGTATTGAGTAGTTCGTTTCGGTTCTTTTTCCATCCAGTTTTAATTTTACATCGACCTACCATGTTATCTGGCACCACATCTAGTCTGCGCACGGTGCGAATTATGTCTGATGACATAATATCGTAATGCCAAGTCAATGCTATCTTTAATCTTCAAATATCTTCTGATTCTTAAACACAGAGTTTAATGTGTGAGTCTTTTTATTGTCGACCGTAAAATGCAAATTGTAGCTCAGATATATGCGATGGAATTTACATT